ATAAAATAAAATTTCTAAATGAAAAAATTGATGCAGTATATTGTGTTGTGCCTAAAGGGGAGATTAGGGTTCAAGTCGTATTTTAGAAATAGATGCTTGTGTTTGACTCATCAAAAATATGAAATGGTAAAACTGGGACACTGGTTGGTGCACCCAGAATATTAGCCTGATAGGGCAACATTAAGCCAAAGGGTTGTCTTTTTATTCAAAAATAATAACTCATACCAACAAAAAAGTAAAAACAATATGTTTTATGTATATATAGATGTAAATATTAAATTCGAAATTTATTAGCAACCAACTAAATCAACAGATTTGATAGAGGGGAATTGGTTCATTAGTTGAAACTTAGCTTATTAACCTTGAGGTTATTGGTTTGAACCCGAGAGCAGCCACTTCATGCCAATAATGCGGAAGGTTATTGGGTTGGACACTCACACAAGAAGCTTAATACCAATTGCTTTTCTCAAAGGAGAAGACCAAATTGCTATTTGATATAGCAATGGCTATTTGTTATAGCAACGGTGTGTTATGTGTAAAATGGTAGAGGAAAGTATAGATAATTTATTTTTGCATTGCCCCATGGTTCTATCCTTATGGTGGAAAATCTTACGTCTAGTGGGAGGTTGATGGGGTTATTCCACCATCGTGTGAGCTTGTGTTGAGCATTAATTTGAAAGGCTTTGGTTCTACTGTTAAAGCTTGGGTCCTTTGGAGGTGTGTGGTTCTTTGGGTCGTATGGATTGAAAGAAATATCCAAAATTTTGTAGATAAAAGTTCAAGACATCGAGAGTTTGTAGGAGACATTTTTTTGGGAGCTTCTTTTTGGTTTGGTGGTCCTTTCTTTGAAAGAGATGCTACTTTTTTTAATTGCTAGGGATAGGAAAGGTGTCTGTAGTTTGTGAGCTTTTTTCTTTTCAGCTTCTTTCTCGATGTTGGTGGACCTCTTGATGTTTGTAGTTTGTGAGCTTTTTTCATTATTTACAAAATTCCACTTTGTTGTCATCCAAAGAAAAAAAAAAAAAATGAGAGTAGAGATTTATTGTTGAAAGAAAAGCAACATATAAATGGAGAGAGGGAGATGGAGTAGAGAGAAATAATTAGGTGAGGACTTCACCACCCACTGAAAGGCAACAAAAATTGAACGAGTGATATTATGGATTTCTTGTAATTTCAAGAAGTGGATTTGAGAGTGAATTCTATAGGTTTTTAATTTAAATATTCTACAGAGAAAGGTGAGGTTTTAAAAGTAAAATGGTGGACATGAGTATTATGTCACTTTTTAAGTTGTCTATGTGAACATGGTACGAACAAGCACTGTGGTTTTGACCGAAGTCCATGGTTGTAGGGATTTTGATGAAAAGATTAAGAGGCAATAATGACTATAAAAGATTCAAGGGCAAATATGAAATTTTATGAGGGCAAATAGGATATTGTTTTGCAAGTTATAGGCAATAGTAGATATTTTTAGTTTTGAAGGAGGCAGCTGCCCCCTCTGGTCCTTATGTGCCTTCACCATTGGATATGTTAGGTATTATGGATAAGTTAGAGGGTAAAGGTGCAGTAAAATAGTAATGGTGGTGTTCAGTGTTACATGAACTCTTCTGTTCTCCCCATTTACCCATGTTCACCTAATATGACAAGGGTTAGGGTATGGGATGAGTGTCCAATCTCCGTACCTAAATTAGACATTTGAATTCTTGAATTTTTAATATATTTGAAGACGAATAAGTTCACATTCAATAATAAAGAAAAATTTATAGTGTCTCACGTGAATGGGAGATAGAAGCTCTTTTTTTTTTTTTTCTTTTTTCTAAATACGATTTAATTTCAAGTACATCCCTAAACAACTTGGATGATCTTATGTTGGAATATTATATAATATACAATGTATATGAGAATTTATATTGTGTATATCTATATCTTATTTTTTGATACATATCCCTATATTATAAGATTTAGGCTTTAGATTGTCTGACATTTCACACATACACACACCCGAGTCCATGTAACATAGGTGGTGTTATTGTTAGTTAAAAAGAAAAAAATTAGGATGTGTTGGGAATCTTGTGGTTTTTTTGAAGCATTAAAATGGAATTAAAGCTTTTATTCCTTCAATCCCATATTTTTAAATGAGTGTGAATACATTTAATGGTGTTAAATAGTGGGATAACTTTTAAAATCAGGTCTCTACGAGTTAGGTGTGAACACATTAAATGCTAAGAAGGATGGAAATGGACATGGCGATTTTGAAAAATTGAGAATACAAATATAGTACGAATATGGGAGAAAAATATCTTTATAATTTTTTATTTGCCATGTATATAAATATAAATTTAGGGCATAGAGATATAAGAGGCATCAATGATGTACATACATGTGGGTGTATTTATTTTTATTTTTTTCACTTTCTGATTTGTTTTCTTATATTTTATTTTGACCCTAAATCATTTTTCTAAAATTATGGAAAATAAACTCATAAAGGTGTCATGTGGCGTGTCCAAACTCAAGAACGTGTTCGGGATGTGTCCCCAAAGCATCCTGCAAAAAAGAAAAAGAAGAAATCGACACACCTTGTGGCATGTCTGACGTGGAGATGCGTGTCCTACATGGGCACGTTTCCAACACATTGAATTTCTCAATCATTCATTGGATGAATGATCATACAAAACTTTATTTTTTATGTACATCATTTTAGTCCCTATTGATTTTGTCTCTGAATTTATGATTTTGTTTCAATTATCAATTTGGTCTAATTGATTACAACTCTTAGCATTTTTTTATGGAAAATACGCACATACGTGTTACGTGCCATATTTGTAAGGACAAAATTATAAAATTACTCAACTCAGTCAGTTAACCTCAACCAATTTAGTGATAATTTTCTTTAAAAAACACTAATGATATTATTAATTGGATCAAATTGAAAAAAAATCTAAAATTAGGGTCAAAATTGAGCCAATTGAAAGTGTAGGGACCAAAATGACACAAGGGTTAAAATATAGGGACCACCGTTGTAATTTGCCTTACTTTTTATGTATAGTTTGTGTGCAATACTTTTTTATATGTTTCCGAATCGAATTTTAAAAGTGTTATATACATTTAATATATACAAATACTGGAGTATGAAATACACAAATAATGGAATAATTGTAATTATGAGCTTACATGAGTGGAAAATTTGAAAGTTAAATGACTGGAAAAAACAGCTTAAGCATAAGTGTAAGCATAAGCAGTGGTACTCTGTTATTTTAAATTATTGTCAAGGACAAAAACGAATCTTGAGGCATAGGCAATAGCCACATTAACGATATGTAATGGCATTGTATGAGTTATTATTATGTCTGGCAAATAGGGAAAAGAGGTTTAGCTGTAGAGGTGTTACATAGGGTGACAGTAAATAGTCACCGATTTATTTAAGGTTGTGGCTTAATGTAATTATAATTGACTTGTCCAAAGTTTTGAAATATATGCTAGTTGGTTTGCCATCTGTTCAGCATTTACATTTGTGCTATGATTTCCTTGCTAACCTTAGGAACTTCCAAATAAATGCACATCAAGAGTACAACTGTAGGCGCCTCACAGAGTTATTCCCAAATCTCTTGAGGGGTTGATATATATAGATGAAACCAGGACTCCTCACATGTTATAGTAATTGTGTGGAGATCAATTATTTTGTATAGTAAGATATTTTCTGGAAATATCAGGCATACTAAATGTATAATATAATCATTTTTATCAAGATTGGCAATAATCGCTTATGTAACCTTTTTATTTGCAGTCCTTTTTTCTGACATCCCTCTCCAGTCATGAAGTAAAATTGGTGCCATATTTAGTGTAGTTATGTTTTTGGCATTATAAGAGTTGGTTGGGTCTTTTGGCCTGTAAATAGGTAGTTAGGGTCTTGGAAAGGGAGTTCATGATATTTTGAAATTGTACTTTGTGAGCTTAGAGCTCTTGTATCTCAATATTGATATTTTCTCTCTAATGAAATCTCTTTACTAAATTGGTTTCATCACATATTATCCTTCGAACAAACAAATTCCTCAAAACTGCAATTACATTTTTTTATTGCCTCCCAAATTTTTAGCATGTTTATCTGGTTGATTTCATTCAGTGTCAAGACCTTGGCAATGTGTTATTTACATTTTCTGCATTTAAGTTGGAATTTAAAAGATTTTAATTGGTGCAAGTTGTCCCATAAACTAAAATTTGTGGCAGTGTTTCATTCTGTTTCCCAGATTTTGAATACTGTAACATTTCAGTACTGAAATTATATTACTAAAAATGATGCTAATTTCCGAAAATAGTGTAGTTAACTAGGAACTCTTTTATTTATTTATTATATTATTAAATTTAAATTATAAGCATTCTCAGGTGTGAGAAAATGGCACCATCATTTTGATGATAAATTTCCATCTCCAGGGATCATTTTCTCTGGAGAGAAAAACTATTTGCACAGAAGGCATTCACAAAATGGTTCACAGACAAGGCACAAGGGATCATTTTCTGTGAATGGCTAACAGTGCATTTAACAGGATTTCCTAATGTTGACTGTCACCAATCTGTAGTGTGCAGTGATACAGTTACCATCACAGACATTGATGTTATCTGTTACCGATAAAGCCTGCCGCTTGATTGGAAGGCTTTTCCCTGGGGTAAGATGTTCTTTCACATGGTTTTGTCATGTATACTGAAATTAAGTTCAATGTGATCACATATGAAACTGTGCTTTGTATTTACACTTCATACTTGGCTTACAATTAATTGTTGTGTGGGTTTAGGATATGGTTGTGTTCAAGCCACAGATATCGAGTCTGCAGCAAAAGCAACAACTTCCCCAAATGCAGCAAGAAGCAGCGCTTCCACAGATGCAACAACAACAGCGAATGCTTCTGCAACAAATGCAGCAACAACAACAAACCCTTCCACAAATGCAGCAACAGCAGCAGCAACAGCTTTCACAGATGCTGCAACAGCTTTCACAGATGCTGCAACAGCAACAGCAACAGCAACAGCAGCAGATTTCACAGTTGCAGCAACAGATTTCACAGTTGCAGCAAATGATTTTACAGTTGCAGCAACAACAACTGCAGCAACAACAAACGGTCGGGACAGGAATGGGTCAAGCTTATGTTCAAGGTCCGAACCAGTCACAGTTAGTATCTCAGGGACAAGTGTCATCACAAGGGCCACAAAACATGTCTGGAGGAGGGTCTATGAGTTAAATAACTAATTTCAGAAGATGAGCATTCGTGTTATGCTTGAATCAATCACCAATATAATTATGCTTTTAAGCTTGTTCTTTTAAGTTGGTTGGATCTCTATCATAGTGATAGCTAAGGCACATCAAATAAAGATTTTTAAGACCCATACATGAGTGCTTGCATTATCCTTTGGAAGTTTGAGATTTGCTTGTGTTTTATATACTACGATGTTTGTAAAGCTATTGGGAGAAATTTAACATTCAATATCAAATGTTATTTTTGTGAGTTCCATTTACTGCATGCCGTATATGAGATTTAAGAGTAGTTTATGAGATTTGTATATTTGTATAGCATTTTCCTTTTCACAAAAGTCCTTGCAGAACAGGAGGGAAAAGATTCTTCTGGAACCAACAAGATGTTACCCCATCAGTCCACAGATCAAGAACGGTAAAGCTTAGTGTAACTTGTTACCCCATCGGTCCACAAATCAAGAACGGTAAAGCTTAGTGTAACTTAGGATTACTTAAGGTATGTCTTTTTGACAGACTTCATGATTTCATTACTTGAAGATGATGATTTGACTTGAACAACAGAAGGGAGAAAAGAAGCCCAAGAATTGAGCATTTGTGTTGTATATTCTCTTGAAATAATCTTCTGTGTATAATAAATAATTTGAAACAAATTAAATAAACAAAATAAATTACTTACAGAATTTATTAACCGAAAAAACTTAAGAACAAGAATGATCAAGTTGAGTGTGTGACACTTTATTCTTAAGACAGATTCGCCCCGCTCAGGTGCTTACAGAATAATGTCGTCTATTTCTTAAGATACAATGATCTTTCACAGATTGTATTAGCACTAAAAACAATTTGCTTCGGCGAATTAGAACCTGTGTTCTATACTCTCAAAAATTTGTCTAAAATTAATATAAAGAATATATAATATAAAGAATATATATATGCAAAAGAACAAAACGGAAGACAACAAGAGAATTTCAAAAGATTTTAAACTGCTTGAAGAGGGTCTAAATTTATAGGTAAAGCGGTGCCTTTTCGGAAGACCTGAACAGGTCTAACATAGAACCGAACAGGTGCAGATTGGATTGAATAGGTGCAGAATTCAAATCTGTTTGAAAAAAGTGTGATCTGCTAGAAAATGGAAGAGAATTTCGGATTGGAAGAGCACTGTTTGGATAGAAAATTTGAATTCAAATTTGGCGCAAAATTTGAATTAAGAAATTCAAATAATTTTCTTGCAAAAATTCAAATGAATTTTGTTCAACAAATTAATGTTAGGACCTGACCTAGCACAGTTGACGGCGTGTGTGGTGGTTTGAGTGAAAGCCCACTTTATCCATAACTCCCTTTCACAAAACTTGGGATGCCCCTTGGGGCCCCACCCAAATATGTCCACATAGAGCTTATATATTCACATAAGTTCTCTTAAAGTTTCAATGTGGGATAACCAATTTAAGGAAACCCACATTTGACTCTTCAATTTCCCATTCCACGAACCCAAAAACAACGTGAGCTTCCCATTTAATCATAAATGGTTTTAACGAACCATCTGCACCGTGTGACTTGCCATGTGACAATGAACATGTTACTTCTTTGGACCCACCCCAAAAGACGTATGAGCCCCATTCAAATTTGGGCTCAAAATTAGCCCAAAATAAGCCTATAAAACCCATAATTTCCAACATATTCTCAGCCTCGGGGGCTCCACATACCGTGTGACTTGCCATGTGGCAATGAACATGTTACTTCTTTGGATCCACCCCAAAAGACGTATGAGTTCCATTCAAATTTGGGCTCAAAATTAGCCCAAAATAAGCCTATAAAACCCATAATTTCCAACATATTCTCAGCCTTGGGGGCTCCACAAGTATATGTGCACACTTGTAGTACCACTCTTGTTGTCGTAAAATCACCCTTTAATTTGCGGGGCAGATCATGAGGTAATTCTATTTGCACTCTACATTTTCATTTCAATTCACAAAATTTGTGCAGTTTTGAGATTAACTTTTGAACAAAAATTGATTGCTTAGATATCAACTATTGAAGAGTGTATTTGTTCGGAAGATATCTGAACAATTGATTTTTGTTCTAATGTTGATATCCGAAAGGTAAAATTGTGTGAATTGAAACAAAGTTTGGTGTACAACTAGAACTACCCCACATCATAGGTTCCACCAGCCTGCATGATTGAAGCAAATGAGGATTTTCGTTGAGTACTGAAAGATTTCATTGGTGTTTATTTTCCCTTTTGAATTCATACAACATATGAGGTGAAAATTTGATTGAAATTGATTTTTCGATGATATATTACAAGCGTTTTAATCATGTAGTTGCGCAATGAAACTTAGTATCTTGGTAGAACTTCAATGCAACGTTTATTAATGATGTATTTTTTACAATGAAATGGTTAAAACAGTCTTTTACATGTCCCAAAAAAGGTGTCCGTTCCTTTAACTTTTGTATTGATAACCATATAATTTAATTTTTAAAATTAATTAGTGTAATTGTGACTAATGAGATTGGAGGACAGACACTTTTGAGATTAGCTTATGAGGTAAAATGAAAAAGACATGTTTTTACAGTGAGTTTCAACTCACGTGTAGTACATATATATTTTATAATTTTTAAAAGCATCTTTAGCTATAATGGGGTCCAATATACAGATACTTTTGTGGTGTGTGCAATAAAATAACTTGATGCTTACTTTCCTCTCCCAAAAGCAACACTTCGGAGGCAAAGAATAAGACCCCCCATTACTTTCACAAAAATATACATTCTTCTTCGATCAAATCAATGATTACTCATGAAACTATTGCTACTTTATAAAGTCAAGTGTAATGATTCAAAGATGTGTATAAAGTGGCCTACCAACAAAATATTCCCATTTGACGCAATCCTAAGAAGTACATAATTGACCACTATGTCCTTACATTCAAAGAGGAGGCTTCATTGGGTTGTGCTTAACTTATGGTGCTTCTATGGTGGTACATTCTGAATCATTGTCCACAAGCTTCAAGTTGGGAAGCTACGATCACAAAAACTATGAGACAATTGATGAGCTAATCATGAAATATTTTTCCACATTGGTATTTTGCAATAGTACACATCATAAAAGTGGATGACACTAGACTCTCTCATCATAATCTCTCATGTCTTAGATCATCTGGATGTAATATCAGTATCTTTGACTTTAATCGTATGGATTTAAAATAAGTGGACAATGTTAAGCACTAGGCCATGTTTATTTTTAGAGATAGTCTTAGGATTGAGTTTATAACCTGACGAAAACTAAATAATTTCAGATTTGGCTAAAATAATTAGAATCTGTACTAATAGTCTACCGGGACATAGTGTCACCCATATGGGAGAATATTAAATCCCAAGGACGACTGAGATACAAAATATGAGAATAAGGAGAGGTTTAAATAATTAGTTAAATTACAAAATTGATAAGATTTTGTCAATCCCTTCTTATAAATCCTAGGCTAATTCAAACATAGAATTTGATACACAATCTAATGGGATTAAAAAACTAACAATTCTAATTTAACCTGTCCAAACAAACATCACTTAAAATTATTAAATAGGGATGACAATAGTATAACAACCCGGAAAATAAATTATCTTTTAATTTCACATCAGTATTATTTAAATGGGAAAGTAGAATTTATTTTATAATTTTATATGTAATTTTACAATTGGGACCAAAATATATGATTTTGTAAAAGAGTGTAAGTAGTAATGTAATTATTACAACGTTTGGGGCTAAAGTATAAATAGTGAAAGTGGAGCTGCCACCTTGATTATGTGCAATACATTTGGCTAAAACACATTTTAGCGGCACTATACCAGCGACATGTTTTTAGAAAATATTACAAAAATAATATTTGGTGACACGTTTTAAAAAAATACCACAGAATTACAAACATATAAGGCTCTAGTGACATTTTAATAAAGAAATGTCACATCAATTTTATGACATTTATAAAAGAATGACATAAGAAATTGTTTTAGTGACATTTATTAACAAATGCCACTAAACTTTAGTTGCAATGGCATTTTTTAAAAAATGTCACTAAACTAGGTAGGTGCAAGTTACTTTTTATAGCATTAGTTGAAAAGTGTCACAAACAAATATTTTATAACATTTTGAGAAATGTCACTAAGCAAAAAACTTTCCAAACTATCTAATGGATTTTTTTAAAAAACAAAAAATGTCAACTATATTTTAAAAATTTTTAAAATGCACAAAATAAATAAAAACAAATAAATTAAACTTAATATAACATGTTTTTTTAACTATACTTGCCACATGTACAAAATTGACTTTATATGACTTAAAAGGAAAAATAAACTTTCAAATTGCTCTCCTATACAATGACAAAGTTTCTTGAATTTTAGTCTCTGTAGTTTTAATTGACTTAATTTTGACTCTAAATTTACGGATTTATTATTTATTTTAATTGCTTATAATTGTTGAGTAACTTACATCAATAATCCTTACATTTTGTTATTTCATATAGTTTTAATTGACTTAATTTTGACACTTAATTTTAGATTTTGCATTAATTTAGTCAAATTGATAACATCTTTTATAGCGACCCTAACTTTCTTAAGTCATTAATTATTATTATTATTATTACTGTATTTTATTTTTGACTTTATTAATTACATGGATACATGAATTTAATTATATTTAATTAATCTGAATATATATATATATAATATATTTATAAATGTTGTATTTATGTAGTATTTGTAAAATATAAATATAATAGTAAATTAGGTATAATACACTAGACCTAGGTTATAATCATGAGAGTGTGTGGAAAAATTTCCACGACAGTAAAAGCAGCAGCCATGGGAAGAGAAGAGAAGAAAGAAAGAAAGAAAGAAACAAAGAAAGAAAAAAAAAAGTGCTTTGCGTGCGGGAACAAGCCCCAAGAGAGAGAAAGAGAGAAGGCGGGAAGAAAGAGGAGTGGAGAGAAAGAAAGGGATAGGATTTTATTTTGATGGCTTCATTAATTTTTTAAGTATTTTTTTGATGTTCAAAAAATAATTGTGAGTGTAAAACATACTTTTCTTGATTTATGTTTATTTTGTTGTTATTATTATTACTTTATTTATTTATTTGATGTTTGTTTGATATTGTATTGGCATGAAGATGATAGAATATTTATTGGGATTTAGTCTTAATTTAATATTTAATTGTTCAAATTTTGGGGCGTGACATCTTTAGGGTCTTTGATAAAAAATTTTCATTAGATTGGTTAAG